AGAGACCATCCGCTACCGCGTTGACGACTTAGCCACATTATCAATTATCACAGGACCAGGGAGAATTGAGAAGGTAAGATCGAATTAGCATTGTCCTTCTTTCTGAGTCACTGAGCCACTAGGCATCTCTCTGTTAGTACCTGTTCCCGCTGCTCTATTTGATGCTGCGACGCGACCTGCAAATCCTCAGAACATGCCGGCATAGCATTGTCGATAAGCGCGACCTGTTGGACTGCATCGACAATCTTCAGACCGTTGTGAGCGCATGCAAGAAGAGGAGACAAAGCTTGAAAGGTGGGAGATTCTGCTTTCGGTTCTGTCATACTAGTGATCGGCATCTAATGTAAGCCACTCTGTAGAGACCTTCTTGCATCAAAATCTGCGACCTGACGAGCAATTCCGGAGCAGATATTGTGGAATAGTAAGGTTTCTATGTCTGCCCCGCCGATTCCTCCTTTACTAAGACTTTCATAGTTCGAATTCACAGAGAACTGGAACGAAGCCAGAAAACGACTGTATAGCTTTCAATGGGCTCCCGTCCAATACGATCAGTCGTCCACTGTGGGAGACGAAGGACTGTCCAGTTTCGCCGCTTTGAACTATTCACTCAAGGAACCATATTTCCCCGAAATCGAGCAATACAATGCAAAGCATTTTGTCGAGACAGAAGCAGATCTCAGGGCCGAATCGCCTGTCAAGGAAATGTACGTGTGTCAGCTACCTAGTATGCCCATACACGAATTCATCGCATGTACGCAGCTTGGGCACTTGGTATGGCTTCATGTCCAGAGAGAAGACACGCGCGTGGCCCTTGGGACCAATGTTCACCCTTGACATACATGCTGCGGATCATGGGCTCAACAAGTTCGAGGCGGCTGGTTCTATGCCCGACAGCTGGAGGGGCATCACTTTCGCTGTCCTGGGCGATGTGGAGACCACATCTCACGGCGCAACATACTACACGCTGCTGCTGAAGTTCAATGTGCGGGCAATCGTCCTGGAATTCCGTGGCCAACTGAGCGAAAACCGCATGCGAATTTCGGGTGTCTGGGGTGGCGAGGAGATGGACAGCAGCCAACCAGAGGTTGGCCCTTTTGTCTTGACCCGCATGCCTCCCGAGGTGCTCTCTTTCCGTCCGGCACCCTGGGAACTCGAGATAAACAAGCCCCACGCATTATGGCGTTTCGCGCTGTCAGCAGTGGAGCACCAGGTCCTCAGATCGAGTTACTCGTGGAAGTTCTTCAAGAGACGACGGGACACGCGGAATCGATACATCGAATTCTGCGTGCGCGAAAATTACGGCCGTCCTCTCAGCCCTGATGAGAGCCAGGAAATGCGAGAGTTGTATCGCTCTCTGAGTCCCAGAGATGCTCGGTATTACGCATCCGTCGCTGAGTATCAAGTTCTCCTCACGGCTTGTGTACACGAGTGCGTGGTTCCATCGCGCGACCTCCAACGTCCACTGACATTTGAAGCTATGCAGAGGGTTTGAATGTGATAGCTGCAAAGGACGTATCATGGGCTCGCGCATGGTGTGCATGTCCTGTGCGCCGGAGTCCATGGATACGATTGACTTGTGTAGCGACCCTCGTTGCCTCACCACCCCCATCAGCCCGAATCAGCGCTCGGACTTGACTTCGCCTCACCTCCCGACGCACGATATCTTGCAGCTCAGGAAGACCATGCATGTGCGCGAACGCCAACAGAACGAGGTGCAAGCTCGGAGGGCTTTAGGGAGGGCCCGCGCGATGTTTGACGATCTAGCATCATTGCGAGATATAGGCTCTGCGGATGGCCCGGAGACGTCGGTTACGACACACAGAACACTCGGATGCCTAGGCTGTGAAAGCAGCGTGAGGTGGCCCTGCTGGTACTGTATAGAGTGTGATGGTGCGTGCGCATGTCATTTCGAGGCGAGCCACGCTGAACTGGAGGCAGATAACGTGTTCATATGCATGACATGCGACACGAAGGGGGGTATAACGAAGGAACGGCACATGGATACACACACGCTCGTAAGATGTCAGACTCAAATGACAGAAGAGGCGTGTATGTCGATGGAGCAGCGTATCGAATCATTAGAGACGAGGTTGGGGTCGATCCACGATAGCTTTAATAGCAGGCTGGAGGGAGTTGAAGCGCAGCTATCTCGTATCCAGGAGCTGCTGGAGAATGCCCTCCTACGACCTAAATCATGCGAAAACGAGCCGCGCTAGCGTCGAATCCAGAAGGTGTTGATGTGTATGTACTTAAGTTACGTCGCGCAAAACCTGGTGGGTTAGTAATCGACTGTGACATTTAATGACTTATACGTGCTCGCAGCTGTTTCTGAGTCGTGATCCTGTGAGTATGTAAGTATATTCAGATTGTGACAAAAGCGGGAGACAAGGAGGCCCTCGCACCCGGGGCCCCGTCGCGCGGTCACGTGTACGGACGGTACACGGTGGGCTGCTGTGGATGCGGAGTTCGGACTCTTCGGAGCCAATCACGAAGCCGAAATATCGACGCGGTGGACTCGACATCGCTTTTTCGTTTTCTAGAATAGAAGATGAGTCCTGCGCCTCTGGCCCTATGCTTCATAGTTACCGTTCACCATGAAACCATAATGTCGATCGGTAAGTACACACCGGTTGGTACTAATACTATGCAATTCGCGGACTTCCGAGGCGTTAACTTGAAAACTTTATCATCCGTACGTACGGCGTCTACAACAACACTCTAGTACTTTTTGGCACCTTCAAGTTATAAGCTTCAAGCTTCAAGACTGGCACGGAGACACGAGAGGGGTCAGTATGGCACTGCCAACTTGTTCCGAGTCCCTGTTCGGTGTAACCATTTGATAGGAATCCTATGCTGCTCAATGCCGGATAAACCTTATGTCCAACTCTGACCACTCCAGCGTTTCCGTCCGCTTGCACAGGTTCGAACCGCAGTGATTGGCCCTGAGCGCTGCTGACTTTAGTTCCAGTGATACCCGTCTCATTTCTTCTGTCTCGCAGCGTACAGCGGAACCAGCTGCCAAGACATTCGCCGGATACGCAGACCTTTGACATGAAGTCACGGTAGACCAACTCGCCACCCATGATGGGAGCACTGACAAACGATACTAGATGGCCAGTACGCCGTGGGGCCCCCTAGCAGACCATAGTACTCCCTTCTATGATCCCGGCACAGCAAAGCTCGACGCTCGGTCGTGCCGTGATAATGCGCCTTGACAGCTGTATGCAAGTATATATCAAGGAAGATCTTCGCCCACCGTTCTTGTACCGTTCCGATACTCACTTGGACCACTGAGAGCGCTGATTGATTCCAGGCCGATTCTTACCTATGATAAGGCTGTGCCGTATTCATGGAACCTCGAATTCAGTCAACCGCTCATCACCCTAAACCTTGATATGCTTCCTGTGCAGGAGGCATGATCATTGATCCATTCATCCTACTTAGGTATCGGTGGGCCTGACAGAGGACGGCATGAAGAAACATATTTAAACAAGGCTGGTACCAGCCGCTTGACTGCGTCTCCCATCTCTCCTCCCCACTTTGATTCACTCAACTTTGATAATCTTAGAATGGATAGCCCTTCACGAGCGGACGACCAGGAATCATCTGGGGGTTGGATGGAAGACGTGGGGATCATTTCGGTACAGCGCAACAACAATTACGGGTTAGGCCCCGCAAAATACCAAGGGACGCCTTCATACCCGCTGCATAATGCAATGTATGCACCTCCATACACTACCATACAGGCCTCCCCGTCAGTCTACTGGACTCCTGCACAGACGCCCACAGTGCAAGCTGCATCCACGCCTAGCGCAGCTAGCTATTATCCAACTCCTGCTGCCCCCTCGGCCCCCAGGATTCCTCCTTATTCTCCTGCTCCTCCGCCTCCGCCTCCGCCTCCGCCTCCTGCTCCTGCTCGTGCTCCTCCACCTCCACCTTCTCCGCCGCCTCCGCCGCCTCCGCCTCCCTCGGATGACCAAGCAGAAGGCGGTGCCCCGGGACACATACAAATGATCCCATTACCACACGTCGCCGAAACCGGCCATATAGTAGCAGATGCTGGCCCGGGGGGGATGCCTCACACTGAACATGCTGGTCTTGCCAGTGTCGCACCTGCTCAACGACAAAGGACACTGTCAAATCTAAGCAACATGTCGGATCTGCACTCGCTCCCCCGAAAAGTTCCTGCACTCATGGATGCGTATAGGAACACTTACCCTCCTTCTGGCTTCCAACGAAGCCGCCCAAGCTCGTTGAGGCAGTCATCACTCGATTCAAACGCCCAGGGAACCCGCACAACTCGTAACGTGCATTTCATGGATCCCGACTCGGAAGACGAAGCGCCAGGCGCATCATCGCGTGGTCTTTCTACCGTCACTGACAGTCCATTTCAAGTTCCTATATCGACGGAGCTATCGTCAGATGACAACCCGGGCACGCAAACAGTTGGCGATGTCGATTTTCCCCATCAGCCGAGGGTGAGTACTACTCACGCCTCCTCTGATGAGCCAGACTCGCCCGGGTCCAACAACGATGGCATATCTATGGTGGCCGGGCGAGGCCCTGCGGATTCAACTAAGAACAGAACCAACGGATCGCCGGCAGTGTCGCATCTTCAGACTTTGCGCCAAAAAATCGTCGCCATCGTCGGGAAAGGTAATGCTGGCCGCTCCGCTGCACTAGGGGCCGTCGTACCACCCAGTCCGTATACTGTTCAAATTCACGGCACATACCCCCCCTCCATTGCTGGTGATGCCGCGCCTATGACTTGGACCACTCAGGCTGCGAATACATCCATACAACCCACCACCGCTCCTCCACCGACTCCGGAACCAGTTGAGTCTGTTCCCCAGAATGCACATACGACGGCCCCCACAGCATCCGTCTCGGAGTTCGCAATGGCAAGCAACCCACTATTCATATTCGAAGCTGGCCTGGGTGCGCTCCGAGTCGAGCCTCAGGCCCAATATCTAGGGGCACCTGCCTCTGTTGAAGGCTTTATGCCGAGTATTCAATCAAATGCCAGTGTACGACCGAACGGAGAACTATCTAGTTCTGCTACAGCGTCGCCCCACGGCATCCTCTACTCGAACGGAGCGGCGGCCACTGGATTCGCTATAGGGACACCGTATCAACCTTACCTTCCCTCAGGCTCCTACCGTTGGTACCCTCAGGCTGCGTGGTACCCTCATGCAGGGTTACCGCAAGTTCGTGCCCTGCATGTCGGCGAAGGATCGGTCCCATTGGGCGTTGTGCTTGCATACAGAGGCTCACACTGTCGGCGAATGTTCTTCGACCCTCAGTGGGACGATGCACAGCTGCTTACAGAGATGCGCAAGACATACGACAAGCTTCGCTCGTGGCGGAGATGGTGTTCACTCAAGAACGTTAGATCTATCACACTCGTCAAGTTGGTAAGCACGCTCATCTGTTCGCATACAAAGCTTTCAATAACTGACGTCGACCTTGAATTGATGTATAGAGTCAAGATACGTTCGTCTTCCCTCAGCGAATTGGTCCAACCAAAGTCAGCACACGTCAGCATATGCGGCTACGCTTTCTGCTCGACCACCCGGAGGCGTTACTCGGCAGGCGTGACTTCACAACTGCCCTGATGACGCGACCAGACATCGGTATCGAGTTCGTCGAACGCTGGCAGGCAACGCGACTGACAATCGCCGTCGTCGGGCTAGTCTGTTTCTCGCTGATCGTATCGCTGCTCTACGCCTGGATTACGAAGGACGTTTCCACTGCATTCACCATTGGAGGTGCGCCTTCCAGTTGTCCCTCTGTCAGCAACGACTAAGTGGTTGCTAGCCTATATAACCTCGGCGTTTTCGATCATTCTAGTCTTGATCGGCGTGCTAGGCTTCGTAGATCTTTAGAGAGGATCATGGCCCTAGGGCAACGTTTCCTTCATTGGCTACATAGTACGTGCATCAACTTAGCATGTCTATTGACAGGACACCTATTGATTGGTTGATTCATGTAGTATCATTCCGAGCCCATCCGTTCGAACCAGTCCCAGCTCATATCACCTCCGACTCAACGGCTGTCGTGATCCAGTCTGGCCTCTTCAAGTTCGTAGATCTCCGAGTCGGAGGTGACTCGTCATATGTTCTGCCTCAAGCCCTTGCGGAGATGGCAGTTGCTTCGTTCATATGCTCGGGAATCATACACAGTTCTGCGCTGTGAGACAATTTCCCGCTTGGGTTCAATGTGACTCTTAACCCCACCAAGTCTCATGGTCGACGCTCCGTTTGTATAGTCCAGCATAGGGCCTGGCCTACTACCTAATGGACTCATACAACCATTGAGACGAGGAAAAGCCCACTGAGCATGGGGGTCAGATATCTCGCTTCGTGACAGCATATATTTCGACAGATCTAAGCAATACAGGGCAGTAATAAAGCACACGGACACGAATGCTTAAGAAGGCACAGGATGAGCAAAGAGCAATGTATAGGATATTATAATAAGTCATCGTCGCTATTCGTAAAGGTCAGAAAGGGGCATGCAACGAGGCCATAGGCGTAGGCCCAGATCCTTGAGCGGGCGTGAACAGAGCACGTAGAATGGTATCAATCAAGACAGAAAGGATAAAACGTAAATATGAGGGCCATCGTCATCTCCGCGCGAGATTGGTTGTACTGCGATTCCGCACGCCGTCCATGACGTCCCTCCGGAGCATACCATTTTCTTCAGGCAACGCAAGGCTGCTGCGCATACCAGGGCCGCCGGCGATACCGGCGCTGCTGATCCCCTTCTTTGAGTCGAGAGAGAACGCATTGCCCATGACGGGCATGCTCAGGCGGCGGATCCACCCCTTGGGTTTCTCGGGACGCAGCTGGAGCGGCGCCTGCACAGGACGTACGTGGATCGGCGACGGCGACGTATCCTGAGATGCGTATTTGGACGCAGAACACGTTTCGCATCCACAATACGGCGCATGGTCCGACGCGGGTTGGTACAGGGGCGACGCAGGCTGGCTCGAGGGTTGTGGACCGGAAGACGGGCGCGTAGCCCGCGGTGGCTCCAGCGCTGCGCTGCTGTACGAGTGCGGCGTATACCGCGGCCGCGCAGACGATGTTGAGTATGCGTCCGACTGCTGGCTCATCGACAACCGGTCCGTCATCCCGCTCCGCGCAGCGTCGCTCCCGTACCCGCTGTCCGGGCTGCGCGCGTTGAAGATTCGCGCGCGCTCCTCCTCGAGTGCCTTCGCCCTTTGCCCGATCTCACGCTCTTTGCGGCGCAGCTCTAGTTCTTGCTCACGCAGCTCCAGCTCTTCCAGTTCCGCTATGCGCTGCCGGCGGATGGCGATGTCGTCGTGCATGGGTATTGAGGCCATCGTGTTGGTGGCGTAACTCGTCGAAGTCACACCGGCGGTCCGACGATCTGTCGGGAATGGCTGTGTGCTATTCCGCGAGATGTCCATCGACAGACGACGGCGGTCTGCAGCGGGCGAGGTAGGTGGGAGCCGCGGAGAAGTCGGGGCAGCGTCGATGGGCTCGTATTTGTTCGCGATCTTAGATACGCTCGTCGGTGACCTTGGCACCTCCTTACGAGGCGACGTAGGTTGTTCGGGCTGTCAGGAGATATCGCGGGTCAGTGCAGCACCCCGTAGGCAGCAATGGTAGCGAGCGTACTATCCGTGAATATCGATCACGCAGGGCAGCCACTACGCTGCCGTTGCTCATGCCAGTGTCGCTCCGCTCGATCGGCTGCGAGGTCTGCGCGTCGACGGGTCCACCTTGTCGCGGCCGCTTTTCTTCCCTAGGTCTGAGGGCGCCGAATTCACCGTCGTCAACATGGTCGCCGCCTTGCGAAGATCCACTGATCGAACTAGTCGGACCTGATGAAACTGCTGCACTCTCAAACTTGATCTTCTTGCTCGCAGCGCGCGTAAGCACTGGGGACGGGGTCTTTGCCTCACGCCGATCGTGCAATTCTCGACTCTCCGGACTCTCCGGCGCAATCGAGTGCTGCGAATCTGATCCCTGCTGTGTAGCGTTCCCGTCGACGGCCTTGCCATTAGTCTCAACAGGAACCGATGTGGCAATGGCAGCAGGTTCGGCGCGTTGAGCGGCGGGGGATGGTAGGGGGCGTGATGTCTCGGACGGCGCGAGCGGGATAGGTGACTCTGTCCTGCGCTGGAAGAGAATTTCAGATGGTGTACGTGGTCCGCGAGGGGACTCGGGCCTCGTCTCCTTCACCGGAGAGCTAGCCTCGGCCTTCGCAAGAGGTGGCATAGGGAAATGTGTAGGCGGTGAGGGGAAGGACGACAGAGATGCCAGCGACCTGACAGAGTCATCAGCTATCGTCTTCGCAGGGTGGTACTGCGGCGGAGCGGGTGACGAGTCATGCGACGGCGTGACGGCTCGTGAAGATGCATCTGTCTCCTGCTCGCTCGGACGACGCGATGAATATTCGGGCGCAGGCTTCTCCAACATCGGAGTACTGGGACCTTGCGGCGACTTTTCCATGCTCGGTGTCACGGCGCGTCCTTGGGCAATCGGCGTCACAGAGCGGTCGGGACGATCAGGAGCCTCGCCGTTCGGTAGGTCTGCAGGCAGCGGGCCTGACCATCCACCCTCGCAGTAGACGCGCCATTCGCCGAGCTGTCCGATGGTAGGAGCAGAGCGTCGCACGCCCTCGCAGGAACGAAGCCATTCTGCGTCCGCCACGCGAGAGAGACTGGCGGCCAAGCTGTGTATCGTCGAATGATGCCTACGCGTCACCATAAGCGAGTGATTGCTGACCGGGGGTGAGTGACGGTAACAAGTGCGAATGACAGAGGTACTGACTACTTCTCCTGGTTGATCTCGGGGCCCAGAGTGGTCAGGATGTTCATGTAACGCGCATGCTCGTCGGCCGCGTCCTGCGGGTTCTTCTTGGCCTTCTTCTCGTACAGTTGCCCGGCTTGCTTGAGCTTGGCGTTGGCGTTGGCGAGGCGATCGTCGTACGCACGCTCTTCTTTCTGACGGACCGCCGTAAGGCCAGCACTTTGGCGCATACATGCAGAGCACTCACAGCGAGCTTCTTGAACCATTTCTTGACCTCCGCACTGACCGCGTCGCACTCCTTGTCGGCGAGCTTGACGAACTTTGCGTCCACTTCGCAGAGCGTGTCGAAGATGGTCGCGCTCACGTTCAGCGCGTTCGCTAGGGCACCATTGAGCGAATTAACGTCTCGTTGCTTGGTTCCCGTACCTGGTATCTCAGGCACACACTTCGCCGCCGCCGCATCTCGCAAGGCCTTGACGAGCTTCCGCTGCAGAGTTAGGATCGCATTTGCGGCCTCGCAGTAGTCATTGAGCACGTTGACAACGGCTTCGAGCGACCTGCACGACTTGTGAATAGACTCCCTGTCCGCAATAGGCTCGTTGAGTGCACCGGAGGACATGACCGTGGTGGATGAGTCGCACAACGAGCGCCAGCCTACTGACTGCGCGACGGAACGCTAAGCGCCCAGCACGTCGGGTACCGTACCAAATACAGCTAAATCAGGAAACGTACATAAGCGCGTTCTTGAGTTCGTCTGTCTTTGCCGGCTATTGTATCCTTCACGCACTAGGCTTGCGCTGTCCTCGCTGCGTTCGCAGGATGCCGTCTTGCCCAGGTCTGCACCTCGCGTGCCCCGCTCCCTCCGCCCCGCAGCTGCTCAGCCCACTCACGCCGCTCGCGCTGCATCCATGATGCTGCTGCAAGCGCCCGCAAACGCTCTCTCCGCCCTGTCCGTCTCGCTCGCTCAACAGTGTCAACACCTCTTCGCTGCGCTGTCTGTGCTCGCTCGCTCTCGTCCCCTCGCTACTGTCTGCCGTCCCTCCGCCGTCTCTCTCGTCGCCCCGCCCTTTCCGCCCGCCCCTCCGCCGCTCTGTCCTGATGCGCATAGCCGAGACGAGTCTGTCGACACCGCCAACGCCCCCTTCTGCGTCATTCTGGCTCGCCCGAGGTCAGTTTGTGTCTTTGCTCTCTGATCGCGCGCATTCATCCAGAAACATCGCCTCCTCAGTCCCCGCCGCCGACCTGCTCCCGCCTTCCCCCGTCCCCAACGCATCGCGTGTCACGCGCCGGGACGATGCCAAACGATACGCCAGCATCGTACGAGGCCCCTGCAACTCGTTCAGACCAAACCGATGCCCGGGACGGCTCGCTACACGACGTTCTGTGCGACGCTCCCCAGAGCGCCCGCGTTCCTCTCCACCATGCATGGCCTTCTCGCGTCCCTCCCGACGTGCGGGTGCATACCGCAACTGTCGGTCGACTTGGCGCGTAGCACAGATCGACCGTTGTGCGTACCACAAGTGCTGGGCCACGTGAAACCGGCGATACTCTCGTCTAGGCACCGGGAACAACACAGCGCAGCGCGCAGGCGGCTCCCAGGACGATCTCTCACTCTACAGCCAACGGATGGCCCACGGATCGCGGAGCACGACGCACGAAACGGTCTGCTCTATGGACCTGTGTACAAGCGCCCACCACCAGTACTGCACCGGCCTCGCCGCCACTGCCGACGAACACGCCTCGTGCCTAGGCGGCATGCATGCGGCACGCGGCGCAGGTCAGTGGGTCCACGCGGATCTACGTACAAGCACTCACTACTACAGCGCACGCATCGGCGGTCACTCAGAGCCGCACCTACGAGCCTTTCGCTCGTGCCGCATCGCGGCACATCACCGTGCGGACACAAGCATTGCGACGTGCGCCCTCACTCACCCCTTGTCCTACTCCTCCGCAGCCGTCCACGAAGCTCCCGTTCGCTGCAAGTCCACCGGCCGTCGCAAGAACCCAGCAGCGCCCTAGGGCACTCGTCGTCAGCAAGTCCCACCACCGCGGCCAGACCATAGACGGCTTACCTGTTCCCATCATCGCGACTGCCGACGACG